ATTTGTTACCTTTAGACCATTATTATAATATAGATAAGTAGGTAACTAATACATTATTACTAGGGATCGGATTTATATGCACAAAAATCCTCAAAATATGCTTCTAAAAATGCTATAATATTCTACAAAATATGCATTTATTTTTAATTATGCACTTAAAATTGAATCAAATATAGTTTATTTAAAATTATGTAAAAAATAAGTATTACTAAAGGTATAGAAAGGTTTTAAAAGTATAAAAAGTATTCGGTCGTCTTCACTAAGTTCTTTGCCATTTAACATTCTTTATCTTCATTCTATAAAATATTAGCCCAGATTGATAAAAAGTGAAAACTAAGATTGAATTCATATTTTACCTTATTGCACTGAATGATCAGAAGTAATATATATATAATATATTTATGTCGCATATGAGTATTTCATCTCATCTTTGGCAATGAAATCCTGTCGAAAAACAAATATATGTGCCATAAATAATAATATGCACTATAAAACTATAAATATGCATTAGATATGCATTTAATAGGTAAAAATGTTGAAATATGCTAATGATGCAAAATACAATTAGCTTTATTTTAATAAGAATGACCTAAATTGGAGACAATTCTCATCAGATTTAAAAAACCTTATTTCAATACATATATGCATTTGCATATAAATCCGGTTCCTAAATATTACCAATGCCAAATTATTAACTTTGTTGAAATTATGTTAAATACTATTATTATTAGGTACTATAGGTGCTTTTAATAATTTTAATAAAATATGTATTTATATTTATATGTGAAATATAGGCAACTATTAACAATATTACTGAAATCAATTTTAAGTAACATTGATGAATAACGTTCAAAATGTATACAACATCCCACTACCCATTTGTGGATGGTTATGCTTATGAACAATTGATGAACAACAAAAAAAAAAAATAAATAAATTTCCTATTATTATTGTTGTAATTGTACCTAATAATAATAGAATTTGGGCGGATAGTTAAAATGTATCAGGTACATAGGTAGGTAGGTGTAATTTGGTAGGAATCTTGGGTGTGCTTAGCACTCTTCAGTTTTGAAATTTGAATCTTCATTATTTATGCAAATTTTAGTTGAACCAGATAAGAACTACAATAATATTTTTTTATTTTATATTAATAAACTAATATGCGCAGTCGTTATTAAATACACATTGAAAGGAATAGTGTGATTGTGGGGGTGATTTGCTCATTGTGTCCATGATCAAGAAACTGACAATGGAGGACATCAGCATCACCAGTTTTTTCTATTGAAATTAGGAATTAGGTAGGAACTAGAGGCTGAGGACTCAGTACCCACCACCTAAATCCAAGTATTGCGGATATAGTTTATAGGGATTGGTCACCAATGTCACTGCCAATAAAGACAAATCATTTAAGTCAAAAAGTATGCTAGTAGGTTATAATATAATATTGATAAAATACCTACTTTGTTATAGTCTAGATCTAAAATTTAAAACTAATATTATTTAAACCATTAAGACTGTTTCTGCATTATATTGAATTGTCTTATTTTTTTCTTAAGATGCCATCACTAAAATAAAACTTTAATTTTTCTAAATATATATTATATTTAATTTTGTTATGTAAGTATAGTTTACTTAAATGGTTTAAAATCAATCCCTTCTTTAATCCTTTACTTAAAAGAGTAAATTAAATATGTAGGATCATAAGTATTGAAATATGAATGCATCTTATCGGTCTATAAATAACTTATCTTCTATAAACCCAATATGCCCATCTTCTTCTTCTTGGGTTTGTCGGCCATCAAGACCATTCTGTCACACATCCATTTCTCCAGCCTTCCCTATCAGCCGCTCGTGCTTTCCAATGCAGTCCTCCACGTTTTTCATATGACATCTTCCCACCTCAATCTGGGTCTCCCCGGTGGTCTTTTATTAACTGGGTTCTCGTCCATAACCATCCTTAAATGTTGATTCCGATTTGCAGCTTTGCAAAGCATATCCAGCCCATTAAAGTCTTCGGTTTCTGATTATCCTTAATATAATATATATTGTTATTATTCACTGCCTATTTAAAATTGAAACCAATCATAAAGCCACGAAAGTCTGTTTCCCTAGTCTATTAAGTTATTAATTCTATTAGTATAATAATTAAAACTAAAATAAATGGGAATTTAAATAATTATTTAGTCAAAATATTTGATAGATTTGTTATCATTTGTTACAATAGATATGTAGCTATAATACTATAATGTGTACCTGAAATACTATACAAAACATATTACATTATTGTTAATGATTATAGTTTTAGTAACTAAATACATGTAAATACCTATACATTTTTTATTTTTAACATTCAATTTATACCTTGCGTTTATACATATTTATATTTACTATAAATAAGAAACATAGAACTATAGAAACAAATTTATTAATTAAGGAGGGTGATAAAATATCTAGGGTTTGAAGTATGAAATATTTCACTACATGGTGAAATATTTCACAAAAACGTGAAACATTGAAATTTTTTTTAATACAAATATTAATGATGGTTATTTATCAATTATTAATTATATAGTCCAAGAGTTCTAGGTATAATCATTGACATTAATAAAATACGAGTGCTACGGTTGACATATTACTATATTAGGTCTTAATTTCGACTATTTATAGCAAAACCTGGTTTTTTTCCCAGGAAATGGCTTATTGTCGACGACATTTTAAATACATTTTTGTTGGTACAAATTTCATGAAATTTTCAAACACTAAAAATATCAATGTTATTTATGTACAATATACAAATAATATCTTAATAAAAATCTTCAAATTTTTATCTTTGATTCTTAAATGAATTATCTTGCTTAGATAACCTATATTGAATCAAATTTAAAAAACTAAATACTTCAATATAAGATCTTTTAATTTATGTATTACCTTTATTTATGTAATTTAAGGTTTTGGGTGAAATATTGTAATGAATTACTTTGATAACTACCTAATATTATTTTGAAGATGTGGTTGGTGATATTATGTACCTATGAAAATAATATGTAGGTAACATAATATTTCCATTCTTTAAATTGTTCTCAAAATAGATTTTTAATACAATATACAGGCAACAATACACATTTACTAGTGTCTCTATATTATATTATTATTATTTTAAATATATTGATATGGTACTGTTAAAATAGGAATTAAAAATATCAAAAAGTTCATACATCAATGCTATAGTTTTAAATTTAAATTCAGATTACACTTACTTAAAACCTGTTTTATAATTTCTTCTACCATGTGAACGCCGGTAGTCATCTGTAATTCTTAAAATGTATACGTTTGTGACCGCCATCGCTCATAGTTGATCATTACTATTTACCACGTCACATGACTGCCAGCGACCTTAAATGAATATGATTTATATTATTAACTTTTCTATGGCACTACAATAAAGCACTAAAAAAAGCTATTGATTCACTTTAAACACCAATATTACATTTTACGACTCACTTTACCTAAAGCTAAAATTACTGACATAGGTATATCAATTGTAAAGTTATTTTTAAAATAGGTTGATAGTTATATTTTTATGTTAAAAATACCTCAAAATATTAATTTTGGACTGCTGGTAGTAGTGCTAGTTTGATTTGTTGAGGGATATTGTTTTTCTTGTTTCGTTGTGCTTACTGAATTCAGTGACTGCATTTGTTTGACCCAACATGATTTAATGAACTTAATGCTCATGTTTGGTCATACAGTGTTGGTGAATAAATTTTGGATATTATTATTATATAATATTATATATCAAATGTGTTTAATTGTTCTATAATACTCCAATCAGTTTATTATTTATAATTATCCATCAACTTTTCTTATAAAGCAGAATATTTTACATATTATATCAAATAGGTATTACTTTGTTATAAATATAGAGTATAAGCCGCTTATTAGGAACACCGATAATTGGTATAATAGGCCTGTCAATAGTGCTATTGAAACAAAATGTCTAAGGAAAGCCCAGGGCCGGCCTACTATAAGTAAAAACCAATCGCCCATTAGAATCAATCGGTTGATTGACACATTTCAACTTAGTCCAAAAATGTTCCCATAAGTAATAAGCCCTTTTACTGTATACATATTTACAATTTATATAAGTACACTTAAGTGTCATAGGTACCGGTACCCCAACATTTGTTGCACATTAATCCACTCATCTATTTTAACACCAATAGACAATAAGCAAGAGATTATTTGCTCTTGTACTAAAAAAATTAATGTCTAATATGTCCTAATGATTATAAACATAATATTAAATATGGTGAAAAAATAGTAAGTAGCAAAATAAGTATTTAAAGTACCTAGGTATTTTGTCAATCTTCATAATTAATGTTTGAAGAGAAGTTGTAATTTCAATGTTGTGTACAAATTTAGAAATGACTTACCTACTGATTTATTATTGTCTTTTAAATTTTAATTGACCATGATAAAAATGTAAATACAAATCTGTGTATAGGTAGTTATCTTACAACTTACTTAAATATTAATGATAGTAATTTATAATAAAATAAAACATTTAATGGTAATTGGGACATTATAAATAATAAGCATAACCATCAACAAATTTAACTAGTTTTATATTAAAACTGTAACATAGTTACTAAAATAGTTATAATTTATAAATTATAAGTTATAAATGTTGAAACCCCCCCTCTAACTCTTCATGTTCCTGGTTAGTGAATACTGATTATTTAAATTCACAAGGTTAAATTAAAGGTCTTTTCAATTAATATTCTGTAGGTAGTCGTTACTAATTAAAAATTAATTATAATAATAAGTAGTCTAACTATATATTATATAGGATATGTTTACTAGTTAATATATATTAATATATGCCTACCTAAAAGCTAAAAATTCCCCATACAAATTAAATATCACTTGTTACCTAACTGAATATATTTTTTTATTTTATACATGTTTCAGTTACCAAGTTTTTGAAATTAAAAATTAAAATGGAGAATTCTGAAGGAGAGAAAAGTGAATCAACTGTTATTTCAGAAGAACCATTGGTTAGTCCTTTAGATATTGGTCTTTTAGTGGTTATTATAACAGTTGGATATTTTTGGTACATCAAAAGTTATAAACAGTCAAGTTCTTCAGAAAAAAAACCCTATACTATTCAGTAAGTATTCTCTTTATTTTTCAACATATACATGAATAATTGCTTTCTATGACATTTTTATACTAGTTTTATCTTAAATTATTTATATTTAAATATCATTTTTGTTTTCCGAGTACTCTATTGTATTATTTTGTTAGTTTTAAAATTGAATATAAATTAATAATTTAATAACTGATAACAATATTGTAACATTATAATTTATAATAAAGTGTAAACATACTAAAGAAATACAAACCGCATAGCAACAACTATATATGTATGAAAAATTTAATTAAATAAAGATTGGACTATTTCATATTATACAGTCTATCAATGAGCTTGCTCTACCCAGTGGCGCAACTAGAGTTCAAATATTGGTGTGCTACAATAATTATGTATCGCTTACATAGTCTTAGGGGGATTTTCCTTCCATACCCCCCAACATTACATATTACCAATATTTAGATTATACTATTATTCACAAATTGTGAAAAAAAATTTAACATATATTATTTTTTTATTTTATTAAAATTTAAAGTGTTTAACATAATTTCCTATCAATAGTTGCAAATGTGTTCAATATTTTCTCTGGAAAAATGTCATTAGCTATGTCTGGGGGTCTCCAAATGGAAATGTATTAAATTATTTGGTCTTGTTTTGACACTTTAAAAATTGTATTTGTAAATAGTTTGCTTTAAATATCATAGTCCTAGTACGAACATAGATGCTAACTAAGCTGGATGGGAAACGTCCAATAATACATATTTTTTTCTCAACATTTTACGATTTTTAACCATATTTCTGAAAATGCCTTATCTGTTCTCATATTTAGATTTGACTCAATGAGTGACACTATTAATAATAATTTCCGCCTTCCCTAATGTGGCTGTTTTGGATTGTAGTATTGTACTGAGGATGTCTATAACTCCTAACAAATCTCTTAAAACAATTACTAAAATTATAAATTGACCTTTTGTAATTTAAGATTGTAATCATATACATGTATTATTTCTAATTTCAACATCTATTTTTTTCTCAACGAATACTGCACTATATTCAATAAACCGCACACCAAACGATGCGTTATTGCTTCTGCTCCTGACATCGACCAATCACTTTTCTTTAAATGCCCTAGTTCGTTAAAAATTATGTTTAAATTGGCCAACATCCCTAATAATAATAATAATGGATACTCCACTCACAAACACCATGGGCAACTGTGACTAATAGAAACACATCTAACAAACACATTTTTTCAACTACCTACAGGACATAGAAAATAATCCCTTCTTCAAATACATTTTCAGATATTCAATATTAAAACTTAATAAACAAACCACTAACGTGCTCCTCTATGGTTTTCGGAACATCAATAAATAAATTAGTTTGTAAAATTTTTTTACAAACTTCACGAACATATTTTATCGTTTATCATGCCTCTGTAATTGTACGCAGTACTACGCATGGGCCAACTAGTACAATAATAATATAATATAATCGGTATGCAAGATAAGAAAAAGAATAATAATATGGAATTCTTAAATATAAAATTACATTATTAAAACTATAGATATTTGAAATTACTACATGGAACATGGTGGTGCTTAAAGTTAAGTGCCCTCCCCCCCACTTAACTTTAAACACCACTTTAAGCACCCTCTAGCGTACTTCCATACTGTAAAGAACAAATCAAAAATATTACCATTTTTATTTAACCCTCTCCACCAATACTCAGCTAAGCACCTCTCTATACTCAGTGCCACGAGAGAAGTAACCCGTGTCCCGACCAAATCGCTGTCAAATCCACACATCCCTACCTATTTGACATGTCAACGTTGCATGATCACGACCGTCAATGGTTGGAAAAATTATATAGTAATACTATTAGTATGTATAATGTTGTAAAGTGGGGGAAACGGGGCCTCGGAACGGTCTCTGCTGTCAGTCTATATGCTGTATAATAATTCTCCATTTGTAACATAATTTTATTAAGCATATTTTTTAAGCTGAAATACCTCCAAAGACTTACTATTCATTGTGTATTAGCACTGGTGTCCGGATCCACAAAATTCTTTAAGAGGAAGTGATACTCGCATATATAACAAATTTTACACAAAGCAGAACATGTGTAACTCCGTTAGTTTAAAAATTAGAGTGAATTGACCTCTTATAAAATCTTAAGGTAAGATTATTATCTAGAAAACCTCATGAGCTTTTTATTATACTTTAATTTTTAAGCGAGTTATGAGTACTTTAAAATGTACAAACAATTTACAGTTTTAAAATACTCAAAGCTCGCTTTAAAATTAAAATATAATAAAAAGCCCATGAGGTTGTCTAGATAATAATCTTACCTTTAAATTTTATAAGAGGTCAATTCACTTTAATTTTTAAACTTACGAAGCTACACGTGTTCTGCTTTGAGTAGAATTTGCTATGTTACGCACTTGTAAGACGGAGACAACACATGTGGGTATCACGTCCTCTTAATTGTGAGGGTGACCAAGGGGGCATTCCCCCCACCCAGTCACCATAGTTTTCCTATGTTTTACACTGTGTTTAGCAATTATTTGTACTTCTGCCCTTCCCAAAATTAAGCCCTGGATCCGCCACTGTTCTTCAAATGGTTCATTGTTTCATATAAATAGCTCTCTTCAATTATGCAGATATATCCAAGCCTGGAATCATAGTGAATTTTTATATCCGGTAATACCTTAGAAATAAATTAAATCATAAATAAAAATTGTTAAATTAATAGCACATGATATTCCATACCTCATTTTTAATTATTTCCTGTAATGTTTTTTTGTCTCTCAACTCACAGTAAAAAATCTTACATCCGTCTAATAATTTTCTAAAACATAACATAATCCAACTTCTCTTGGTCCACCAATTCTTCAACTATAATTGTGATTAGTGTCTTGTTCATTTTATTGTCTAAATTTAAATGCCGTTTTGAAATCGGCACGTCGAAAGCTCCCCTTATTATTTTCCGTTCACCAGGCAATAAACATATTTTGTCAATTTTAAAAACCTTACCAGGATCTCTAAAATGTTTTGTTTTGTTAAAAAGGACGTTCAGAGATATTCCTACAGAGATGAATTCAGTCAAAAGCAGTATTTTTAGATCTTTCTATTAATTTCACTACCTATTTGAACAAGTTGATTTTCAGTAACCTAAATGTATTCAATCTCCATGATTTCACTGAGACTCAGTCCACTATTTTTTTTCGCTATTTGTGTTTACGTATGTACAAAATTAATTTTCTTTACGTACTAATTGGGTAGTTTGGAGCCTTTTTTCCACATCTGAAAACTTCTTGTACTTTTCCTCGGTCATTTCTTTGATACGGTTTCACTTCACTACCACATTTGTGGCATTGTGTTGAACAAGGTAGCAGGCCATAATCTTATAAGTATTTAACTGTGGATTCTTCAGTTAAAAAAATGCTATACAATTCTTTTAAAAGCATTTTAAAAAATTTGCTTCTATGCTAATTTCATCTACCAGGGATGGATAACTATGTTACTAGAGGGCCAATTTTTCGAGTTCAAAAATCTAGCTGGCCAAAGAACATAGAAAGCAAAGAAAAAAAACCTTTATTAAATATGCCCCTATAAATAATATAATATTCAGACATTTAATAGTTCAATATTAGATAAGAATTCATATCTATGTTTTACAATAAACATTATATCGATTTTAATAATTTTATAAATATAATAAAATAAAATACTGAAAAATCCTATCATTATATATTTTTATAAAGTAATTTGAAATGTAGCACGGTCAGTTAAAAATGGTACAGTACCGGTTTTCCATCCCTGTAATATACTATTAAGTTCTATGTACCACCAATGACACTAAATTTAATTAAAATAATAAATAATATGATAATACTAATAATGCTATGATATAATATCCTATCTAAGGTTAATAAGTAAAAAAAAAATAGAACACAAACATTAGTAGACCGCATACTATATTCATATTTTTAGTTAGGTAGTACACAAAATGAAGGTAGACTGAAAATTGAGAGATAGCCAAAGGTTGCTTCAAAAATTGTTAAATGTTATATACCCTTAGTATCAGCGTACCAAATTTATTAGGGATTCAAGTTGAACCACCCCCTACAATTGTATTCCTTATTCTATTAACTTATTTTGGGGAAATAATAAAACCCCACAGGTTCATGCAATACCTCTATAGAAAATAAAATAGCACTGGAGCGACTAATGTCGGGTTAAAGTGGTTAAACAGTTATTGTATAATTTATATGGCTATCACTTAGATTCAGATATATATTTATTATATTTTATAATATATTCAATCACTAAAAATTGAATTTGAATTGTTTAGGCCATCTTCGTTGAGTTCTATTGAGCAGACCTCCAATAGTTCTTTTATAAAAAAACTTAAATCAACCGGTCGTAGCTTAGTAGTGTTTTACGGAAGTCAAACAGGGACTGCAGAAGAATTTGCTGGAAGAATAGCCAAAGAAGGGGCCAGATATAAAATGAAAGGAATGGTAGCCGATCCTGAAGAATGTGATATGGTAAATATAAGTTTAAATAATTGAGTAAATGTTTAACATAATATGTTTGTGTTTATTAATGACAGAATAATAAATATTATTTTAATATGTGTTTATGTTTTGGTATGGAAATGCATGCATTTAAAAATTATAGTATAAAACCAATAATATAACATTTTTGTTACTATTTTTTTCAAACTTGTGCAACATAATTAAATCTTTTGGTACAATTATGCCATTAGTTATTTTATTTGATATATTATGTTCAAAGTTTATTATGTGTAATATTTAGTTTCAAATAATTTATCCCTAGATAATGCTAAAATTCAAATTTATTTGATAATTTCTTATACTCAACAATTAATATTGAATGTTGATAATTTAAAAATGATTTGGTAACAAGTGTAAAATTGAGAGTTTCAATTGAAATAGAAGTTGAAGGTCATTTAACTACTGTGCCCATAAAATACAAGGTTTTTTTTCTTTATAGTGATCCAATGTCATAGTGTACAATATTATTTTGTAATGAAAAATATATAATAGAACATTAAACATATTTTAATTATTACATTAACATAAAATATATTTAAATTACTGAATTAAGTAAATAATTTGGAAATACAAAATCTATAAAAACATATTTTTAACTAAAGCATAAAATATTATAATTTTTGATAGAACCGGCAACAGGAAGTCCATTACTAATAGTACATAGTTGTAACTGTAGGATGCCTTGAGAAACATGCATGTTCTACTATATTAGACTGATATATTTTCATAAAAAAAAATACTAATACACATTGTGAGTGTTTTTGAGTTCGTACTTCAAATTATTATGCCCATCCAAGTACTTGTATAATAATACATTTTATAATTTATATGGTTTTCCAGTTTCCTGGATTCCAAAGAACTCTATAAAGTCTAGTATAGTATAATAGGTATCGTTACCCATTATTCTAATTGTATGTACCTATTCAACAGTCAAATTATGAAAAATTGCCTCATTGCCCAAAATGCATATTAATACAAACGGGGGGCTACTAGGAAATTTCCGGTTTCATAGTAGGCCTATGATCTGTCTATGATCTTAATTACTAATTAAAACAGGTTAAAGTCAACTTAAAATTATAATTTTTTTTTTTAATATGTACAATATAATTTCATATAATGTTGTAGCTTTTATTTACAAGTTAATTTTTGGGCCATTAATATACCTTAAGTTCTTACAAAAAATTTACTTTAGAGTAGGTACCACCTTTTAATTCTAGAAACAATCCTCCCTTCTGGTTCCTCAGTACTCTAGTAACTTGTTTGCAAATAGTCTGGAGTACCGACCTTTGAAAATTGTATTAACCTAACAACCTTTGACTGTATCTAAATTAAAAAATATTGTTATGAATATTTCTTAAGGGGTATGAATAATATTGAAAAATTCTATGAAAATGAATTTTTTTATTTCCAATAATATGGTTTATTGAGTGATTTGAGAGTAAATACACAAGTAATTTTCGATATTTTAATTACTAAACTCAATTATTCAAATTTAAAAAGTAAAATATCACAAGTTTTTAAGTTAAATATTGGACACTGAAAATAAAATATCAAAAATCGACACTCATACAAGCCTAGATAAACTTCTTCTCTTCAATTTGTAATAGGTGTTCATACGAAAATACATTTTCATAGAATTTTTCAATACTATTCATACCCCTTAAGAAATAAAAATCACATTTATAATTAATGTGTAAAGTGCTGCTTTACTGACATGTGCGGGCACGTGCAGATGCGCTCCGCTATTTATTTTATGCACAGTCACTCACACTAATGATCAGTTACTACGCACACATTTACTAAAGCATGAACTACAAATAGAAAATTGCCTATATTAATCTCCTTAGAAACGGTTGATATGCATAACCCTTAACTACCTATTGTATTTTCTATAATTTCTTTTTGTATATTACTAGATTTAAGTTTGTATGGCATTTCTTCCTATCTTTACCTTTTGGGGTGTTAAATTTAAATAAATAAATAAATTATAAACCTCGGTGGGGCCAGTTTTTAAAATGTGGTCGGGCAATTATTTCAAAATTTCATGGCCTCAATATCTTAATTATTTAATGTAGAGATACCGTTTATTTACTCATAATAAAGATATGATGTAAATAAAAGCTATGGCCCAACCTTAATATAGACTTCGGCGCCACTGCTAGTACTTATTAGTCTAGGATTCAAAATTTCAAGCAGTATAAATTGTTGTGATAAAAATTAATATCAATAATAGTATTCATACAGAAAAAATGAACATATTTTATATGTGAAAAAAAGTAAAATTAAGATTGTTCCATTTTAATGGAAATTAAATTATATTATTTAAAAAAAAAATCATTTACTTTAAAATCCTAATGGTAAATGTAAATATAAGTATTCATATTTGCATTTAGATTTAGTATTATGTCTATTTTAATAATTATTATATTGGTTTTGTAACATATTTAAATATAATTAATAAAATATGTTGATATTAATTTTAACAATAATTAATATTTACACTCGATGGTAATCTAGGTATGGTAACCCAACTATAATCTAGTATTGTAGATATCACAATATATATTAAAACTCATTTATAATAACCAATAATCATATTATATTATGGCATCATGCAGGTACCTATTCAGTTTCGTACATTTCATATCCAAATGATTAAATCCATACATTTTTTTATTTTTGATAATTTCTAATATATCTTGAAATATTTCAGCCTTGTTAGTATTATAAATTATAATTTTAAGTAACCTATAAATGTTATGAGTTATGTCAATAATAGTTAAATGTTAATAATAATGATTTTCAATAATTCTATTTAGTTGTGTACTTGTGTTACGACTTTACTAAATGTTATAGATTCAAATTTGTTCTCGCACAAAAAATCAAGATCCAAATTTATAAAATACTTGTTGTACCTATATTTAACTATCTGTTGTTTAAGTTGATTCCTGGATTATTTAAATGTGTAACCATTAGGTACATTGTTCATTTGGATTAGTTTCTACTGGAATTAATTACTTTAAAATTTTAAATAATAATATTTAATTTTAACTATTTTAATATTTTATGTGTAATGTGGTTACATAATCAATTTATATTATATCATTAGGAAAATTCATGATACAAAGCTATTCATTTATTATAATGTTATCTCAAGTAATCTCATGTAATTGTTTCTAATTTTCATTTGATAATTGTATTTCACACAAAAAATAAATTATAAATCAAATTGTCATCCTAAAGCTGCGTTCACACTACACGGTGTCGTGTAAAATAATCATGGTTACCACAGTTACCAAGCGATGTTTACCAAACAATTTTTATGGTTCGGAACAGTACTCGGTACCATCTTGGTGTTCGTAGTATTAACCTTACCGAACCTGAAAAATCGCTTGGTAACTGTGATTATTTTACACGACATGGTGTAGTGTGAATCCGGCTTTATCTTGTAATATTTTCAAACCATTTTATATAGGTACCTACTAAAAGTAAACAATTCTTTAATCTTTTGTTACAAAGGTAGTATAAAAATTGAAAAGGAAAATGTCATCAACAGTGAACCAACGATTATTAGGTATATTATTTAATACTAACTGGAAATCAATTCAGATGTACTCTTTGAAATAATTCAGGAACCAAAGCAAACTATTTGGAACATTATTTTGAAGCAGATGCAATGTTTTTTCCTCTGTTTGTCGTAACACTTTCTAATTTTGAAGAGTGCTTCCACATGGTATTTACATTTTAGATTCTGAGTGTATCAAGGAATGTATTGATTTTACAAAGATGTTCTATTTTTTTTTTTGCTATAAACATTTTTTCAGGCAAAAGAAATACTCTAAAAGTTCCAAGTAGCCCATTATATTTGTTGAAAATTTAGTCCAGTAGCTACTTTAAAGGGCAATCATTGAATTGGCTCCCAATTTTGGGCAAATATGAATTAAACTCTTGAAGTAGCTCCGAGAACTGTAAAATACTATTATATAACAAGGGGTTCTCAATTTCTAATATTATACTCGCTTTTAATTAAGACTTCAAGATACTGAGGTTCCACTGTATTTATGTATAAAAATAAGTTAGTATTATACGACGCGGTGTTCAGTAACACACCACTCAGTAGTTAGTAACATGTACCGTATCTAAATATCATGCCTTGATTTTTAGTCAAAGAATTATTTTTCAACAAGAATTTTATTTTTGCATTTGAATACAGTTTAAGATAATTATTTCTTGAAAATATATTACGTATTCAAAATTCATCTATTACTTTAAAATTAATGAATTATCTTATTAGATGTATTACTATACACAAAATGCATAAGTATTAAATGTGTTTTTATTAGGCACTTAAAATAAATAATATAGACATTAGATGAAGAATTTTAATTGGTTTACCATACCATTTACATAAATTTATTTATTATTTAAGTTTATGGCACTGTAATAGCTAATAATTCGTTGAATTTTTCTGAAAAAGTATGAGTAATTTGATTTAGCGTATAATAGAAAACTGATTTTTAATTGACACTATGTATTTACAAAACAGTACTAACTTTTAATTTGTAACTAATAAAAAATATTACTTTATTTTATGTCTTATACTATTTTTATGTTGAATCATTTGTTGAAATATTTTTGTGTTATATGAGTATAATATGACTAACAAAATTCTTATCTATCTAAACTATATTATTATCGAAGTCTTAAGATTTAAACAAACTATAAACATTATTATATAATCATATTATATTAATTATTTCCTAGTTTAATTTTTGTAATTGTTTAAATTTATGGTATTAGGCAGACCTGGTGGAAATGAAAGAAATACAAAAGTCATTGGCAATTTTTTGTATAGCAACATATGGTGAGGGCGACCCGACTGATAATGCTATGGATTTCTACGAATGGCTTCAAAATGGTGACGCCGACCTAGAAGGATTGAATTATGCAGTAAGTAACTTATTAAGGTAATTTCAAATTCAAATTGTTATTGTTAGGGAGAATAGTAATCAGCTGTTAGAGTTTCCTTGCTGTTACTGAATTGTATTATTATATTAATTCACTATTCTTATTCCCAATTGCCCATTTTAAATTTACCATTATTATAACCTTTAGTCTAAATGTTAGACTTAATCATTTAGGAAACGGTATTTTTATTAAAATTGTTATTCCTTGTCTAACTTGTATGTTACCTATATTAATGGGTATCTGAGAAAATGTCTACGTGCGTTTATTAAATTCAATTTAATTCATTCCGATGTTATTGGAGGTCACCAGAAAGTTATAGCCTACTTCATCCTATTTATATTTGACATTCATGAATAGTGAACAAATGTATATTTTAATCCAATCAATAATAATTTGTATTAACATATATTGATCAGGTTTCAAACACACACAATTTATACAAACCTAATTGTAAATTAAAGTACATAAATTATAAAATACTGATTCATGAGTTTAATGCATGTTATATATTATCCGTTTGAAAAAAGCCAGCAACCTATAAAATAGAATTTTTTCATTATGATAACATTTAAATATTCATTTTCTTTTAGTTGAACTATCTCAATTTTCTATTATGAATTTATAATCAACTACCATGACATTTTTGCGATAGCTTTTACTATGACCGAGCTCACATGAGTATTTAAAAACCAACTAGCATATAGATTCATAATTATTTATTTATTATTAGTTTCATATATTTATATATACTCTGTTCAGCAAGAGAAACCTCCGGTTCTGGGTATCCCCGCTTCACCCTGCTATTGAAACCGGTTCCCCCTATAGCATGGTGTTGCGCTGGGGGACCAATTTTGATTGGCGGGTTCTCTCGCTGAACAGAGTATAGATAGATTTTCTTTGATATTATTCATTGTCTAAATTATCTTCTATTCCTTACAGGTATTTGGATTGGGTAATAAGACTTATGAACACTATAATGAAATTGCTATTTACATTGATCAACGTTTGGAAGAATTGGGTGCTACTAGAGTTCATGAAATTGGTCTAGGAGATGATGACGCCAAGTAAATATTAATATATATATATTTTTTTTTTTATTGATCCTTAAGCCCTGCATCTATGGCCATTAGCTGTTAGTAGGGTTGTATTGTAGTGGTGGTAGGGTTTTTGAAGTGGTAGGTTTTTACACATGAGTGTTTGTGTTTGGCAGAATTTTTGATTGGGCACCCGTAGGTATCTGCCATGCCCGGGTGGGGGATGGCGGCACTTGTTTTCCGGACACTTTGACCGAAGATAAATGCCGCCCGTGATCAAGGAATCAAATCGGCGCCTGTTGCGTCGCATTGACGCCTTTGACCGCTCGGTCACTCTGTCTCCCAATATTAATATTATTTTTCATCATAAACTATATTTTTATTAAACGTAATATATTATGTTTATTATTATTATCAGTGCTAGGATTAAAAATAAAATGCATATTATTATACTCTATTTGAGTTAGGAACCATGTGTCACCGGCGACCATGTGCACATGGGCATATTTTCACTTAATAACAGACATAGGGACACGAGCGTTGCATGACACCAACCAACAAAAACTGGTTGCCGAGTATGTTTCTTAATTTTAAAAGAATATTCTTTATGAAAAAAAATTTGAACACCCAGTTGATGACCAAATTCTAGCTATGTTTTGAAAAAAAAATAGTTTTTAGTTTTCACTTCTAAAATTTTCTCTAACAAAACCATTTAAATTCTTGTATAATATTTGTTTTCTTACAACCTTTCTAACTCAACTTACTTTTCATTTTAATGTAATAATATTTAAATAATATATATATATTAACTTATATTTTAGTATTGAAGATGACTTTGTTTCTTGGAAAGAAAAATTATGGGATAGTGTTTGCTCCCATTATGGTATTGAAGAAACCGGTGAAGAAAGTAATATTAGACAATACAAATTAGTAGACTGTTCCGAAGTTTTACCAGAGCGAATATTTTCGGGTGAAATATCACGCCTTAAATCTTATGAAAACCAAAGATTGTAAGTTTTATTAAATATGTTGAGTTTATTACTAAATAACAAGTGAGGACACCAAACCCGTATTTGTAGTCTTCATCTTATAATTGTTCAACCTTAAGAAAAAAAAAAAAAAAAATGGTTACAATTTAGTATTATAAATGTTGTGTTGTTAACATAAATTTATATTAACTGATTGACTTATATTATCATATTAAACTTTAAAAGGTTTGATGCTATAAATATAGTCATGAGCATATTAAAATTGTAATATTTTTACATCAGTTTTAACTACTTTAAAATTATAATATCAATAAAGACTTGAGGTAGTCTAAATTATGTTACTTAAGTTTGATGATAGGTCGATTAATTAGTGCTCGATTCAACATAAGTATTAGAACAAAAACAACACAAACTTGGTTCTGCTGAATGTAAATTTTCTATGTTGTACATTTTTATGACGGATACAACACGTCATAGGAGTTTGGCATCCAGCGTAAGAGGATTTTATGTGTATTATTTTTTAATTTGCAATGTGATATATTTCAGCCATTTGCTGTTCAGAACCCATATTTATCCAAAATATCAGTTAATCGTGAGCTCCACAAGTCAGGTGATCGCTCTTGTATGCATATTGAGTTTGATATTGATGGATCAAAGATGAGGTATGACACAGGAGATCATGTGGCCGTCTATCCCAAAAATTCTTCTGAATTAGTAGAGAAAATTGGAGAATTGTTAAATGCAGATCTAGATACTGTATTTTCATTGTTGAACACTGATGGTAATAGTTTGTAATATTTCATGTTTAGTATAAATTTGTTGTTACTTAATAACTTTTCTTTGCAGAGGAATCCAGTAAAAAACATCCATTCCCTTGTCCTTGTACTTATCGAACAGCTTTAACTTATTATTTGGATATAACTTCAAATCCACGCACACATATTATGAAAGAATTAATAGAATATACAACTGATCCAAAGGTTTGTTTTTTTTTATTACCATTAATTAATTTTTTATGAAATTCTATCATTTTTGTGTTTGTTTTGTGTTAGGATCAAGAAAAATTAAAGCTTATGGCAAGCTCAACCCCAGAGGGCAAAAAAGAATTTCACGAATGGATTTTGCGTGACAACCGTAATATTGTTCATATTTTGGAAGATTTACCGAGTGTAAAACCTGATTTGGACCATTTATGTGAACTACTTCCACGATTGCAGTGTCGTTATTATTCAATATCCTCGTCACCAAAAGTGTACCCAAAATCTATTCATATTACAGCAGTTCTAGTAGACTACACTACTCCTACTAATCGTGTCAATAAAGGTGTTGCAACCAACTTATTAGCCCAACTGAAACCAACCAATGACGAACTTCCACAACCTACTATACCTATTTATATTAGACGATCTCAATTCAGGTGAATATTTTATGTAGTTTAAATGAAAATAATTAAATATAAATTTTAAAAAATTGCATTATATGCTTAATGTTTACTTACAATTCTTTAAAATGATGTATTAACTTACTCCTTGATTAATTTATATTTATAGATTGCCCCCCAAGAGTCAAACTCCAATTATAATGATTGGTCCCGGTACAGGATTAGCACCATTCCGAGGTTTTATACAAGAAAGAGATTATGCACGTAAAGAAGGTTTGTAATTTATATTTTTAATTATATTTTCTGTAAATGTATGCATTAAAGATATATTTTAGATTCTGAGCAGAGCCAAGAAGCTAGTGGTTTTATAATGGTGTTTATTTTCATTTTTTTATCCTGTATACAAAATTTCTACCAGAAGGAACGCTTTGATTTCAACATAATATAGTATCTAGTCTTTTAGCAAATTGGATCAAGATGGTACTTTAGAATGTTTAGATAAATCATTTTTTGATTTTCTCAATAGTTATTTAATGCCACGGGAAAAACCACTGACAAATTACAAAAAAACCGCTAAAATTGGGATTTTAATTTCTAACGCTTTGTTTATCACCATAGAAATTAATAAAAAAATTATCAACTTACAGGCTTATAGCCTGTAATAAATAATAACAATATAAAATACCCAGACTGACAAACCGTCTCCGCTCAGAATCGTTTTTCTTATACGATAATATTTTATCATTGAATTCAAGTTTAATACAAGCCATTATACATTGACCCGATTGTAACCTACTGTAAAGCAGACACCTACCAACTTTTTTTTTATTAATTTTTAAATTTTTTTTAATTGTTTGTTTCTGACATAGGCAGAGAAATAGGAGAAATGGTTCTGTACTTTGGATGTCGAAAGAAGGATGAAGACTTCATTTATGAAAATGAGTTACAAGAATATGTTGCTAATGGAACCTTAACAAAGGTAAATTGAAAATTTATTTTAATATTGCATCATTATTAACATACATTTGTTACTATAATATTTAACAAATTCACTATTCACTATTTTTACAATAATTTAGCTACATTTGGCATTTTCGCGTGACCAACCTGAAAAGCAGTATGTGACACATTTGTTAGAACAAAATGCTGATGAACTGTGGAATATAATTGGTGTAAAAAGTGGTCATTTATATGTTTGTGGGTATGTATCATTCCTCTAAAATGTGAAATAATTTTAAATGTATATAATATAATTTTTTTAAATGCTTAGTGATGCAAGGAGCATGGCAAAGGATGTGCATAGTATTATTGAAAAAGTTGTCATGGAAAAAGGTCAAATGACCAATAGTCAAGCACTCAATTACGTTAAAAAAATGGAACAACAGAAAAGATATTCTGCTGATGTGTGGAGCTGATTTGTGACACTGTTACAGACTTTGTTTTTTATAAATGTACAATGTTGAACAATTTTTTTAAGAAACATTTTAAGAATAATACATTAAAAAAAAAATAGTAACAACACAAATGGAAGAAATGTTGGCTTCTTATCTGTTTTAGTTATTAATTAATTTATATTGTTGTGAAAAATGTATAAAAAAAATATTATAATATTTCCGTTATGAATCAATTTTAAATTATATATGAAATGTTTTACTATTGGAAATTTTATAACTTCTATTAAAACTATTAGATATATTATTATAAATATTTTTATTAAATCAACAAATTAGTGGTATTTTTTCCTTATAAATAGTATGCTCAATAACACCATTCAAAAGTATAATCAAAACTAAGGCAAATTTCTTATTTATATTTATTTTTTGGTTTCTAATAATTATAATTATGTATTATATTAGTATACTTCTCTTCTCTACTCATGAAATCCAGGAAAATATTACTAAATCAAAATACAATGTTTTTGGTATCTTTAACTATAAATGTATTCATTATTTTTATTACAGTAATTTGAAATAAGAATAAGTTAGGCATGTATCAATATTATATAATGGTATATAATGTGAATTAAAATAATATTAAAAATGTGTTGGATTTTAGTTACACAGTTGACTCTTGATAAATTAAAACTATCGATAATTTAAAGTAATCGCTTGTTCCCTTAAAAATGTCACAGTAATTCAAATAAAAACAATTAATTTAATTACCATGGGGAAATAGTAGTACAATTTTAGGGAAAACTAACCTACAACGCTTGACAATTCAAAGTTCAATGCTAGGCAATTCAAAGTATATTCACCAAAATGTATTTCTTATAATTAATGATAAGTTAAGAACTTACCTAATAATGATACTTTACAATTGTGTATACATTTAGTTTATTATTTATGATAATTATTGAATAATTAACGAAGGTACAAATTTTAAAACTCTGTTTTTGCTTTCTTGAAATTTAAAACCTCTTAGCTAAGTGTTAATTGTAATCACGGTACTTCAATATTTTTCATGAGTCCTATCAACTTTGAATTATTGAGAGTCGACTGTAATATGTAGAATATATTCTATATCAGGGATCACCAATTTTTTTTTTTTTTTGAAGGGCCACATTAGGAATCTGGAAACCTAACATTTAATACTATCATACTATCGGTTTTTACTTTTATTTTCTTGTCTGCTAGCCGTTATAAATTTGCCCGCAGGCCTCTTCACCCTTGTTCTATACTATTAAAAGAAATGTAAAGTATTTTGCTTTAGTGAAAGTGACATTCCTGAACTCCGTATTTTGTAATGTATTTGTTTCAAAATACTTAAATTTGTTCATATTATAACTAAACTATTTATTTTTTTATCGTATGCATATGTTATTGATAAAACTAAAGATGAGTAAGAAATTTTCTGAATAATTATGATACTTATTAGTAACTAGGTATTTTGTTGGCATAAAATTATAAAAGGAATGCTATTTTCAAACAAATTTTGTAATAATTTAAGAAAAATTATTTTAATACCTACCTATTGTTTAATAAAGTACTGTATATTATGTTCTGTTATTTATTTTTAACCATTTTCATAGTGAAAACATTCAATGTGTACTTAACGTAGCGTGCATTAATGTATTATATATTTTATTTGGGTCTCTATACAAAGTATTAGGTTTTTAGGTCGACTTAACTTTAGGTTATTCTAGTAATTTTAATGAAAACATTTTCCAAAAGTCTTCCGCGGCTAAATTGCTAGTTACCACAAATATAAGCCAATGTTTAATCACTTGTATTTTTTTATATAGTGGGATTAACATGATTACATTGATGTTGTAGGTACTATGATGATAAATTACTCAACTTGTAAAATATGTACTTTAATTATGTGATGGTAAAAAAAAATTTTAATTGTTCATTTTTAGTTTTGTATTCACAGAAATATATTTTGTTTGTATACATTTATGATATAAAATGTGCTGGTATGATGGGTTTGTTACAAATGTATTTAAATTCTTATGTATTTATTTATTTTTAAAACTCTTCAATTTTTTTAAAAATGGTGTACTTTTTTGTGATATTGTTTTATGAGCGTTAACAATGTAGTAAGCATTTAAGAATCATCCTTTATTCAGACTAACAGGAAATAGGTAAACTTGTCTGTGATAATTACACAACTAACTCATTGAATACCACCAATTGTGTTAAATGTTTTGAATTATTATCAAATAAATATTATTAATTTAAAATAATATATATATAAATATTGATTATACTTACTTTGCTACTTCCTGAACATGCCATTAGTTCTACCTAATACATACATATTTTATATTTTAACTATAATAAGGAATATAATGCTTTGGTATTTGTTGTCATTTTTTTCCAGAATTTATTTATTGGAGTACCTACCTACCTATACAATCCCGGATTAAGGGGGCATCGACGGTTAGAATTTATTTAGGGGCCTCAGATGTGTCCATTATTTTTGTCGTTATAGGCTATAACACTGCATAGATCACCTAAAAAAAATCGATGATCATTTAGTGAGGAAAAAAGCTTGTGAATTATAATTAATAAATAAAGTGATACATCATTCATTATTTATTGCCATGTACCTAATACCTATATTTATTTATTATAACAGGTACCTAATACTAAAAAAAATGTAAATTATTTTTTTTTTTCGTACAGGTGCCTCATTCAAAACTGGCCCCTGGGGCCTGGGCCTTAAAATGTCTTAATCCGGGCTTGTACCTATATTATATGGTAGTATGTTTATCTGTTTATGACATTATGATAAGATAATGATAATACTTATTCCAGGTGGCTGGTTGCATTAAATATTAACAATCATACTATGTATTTATTTAATCAAAAATGAGCTCAGTAGCAGTTCTAGCGTATGGGCAGGGTGGGCAGCTGCCCACACAAAAATTTCTGATGCCCCTTATTGGGGAAGGGGGAGGAAATGAGAAATATTATTGGCAGTTAAAACCTAATTATAAATCTACTGTTGCCCATACGAAAATGTAATCCTAGAATCGCCCCTGAATGAGCTAATTTCCTAATGATCCCTTAAGGATGATTTAGTGGCCATATTTAGGTTACCCAGGTTAGATTAATTTTACCATTAAATTAATTAATTTTTCATGCAACTAGCAATAGTCATGCTTAATGGGATATATTATGTAAATAATGACCATAATTTAACTTTCTGCACAATATGCAAAGCGCTAAGTGCTAACTGTCAACTGAGGTAATTAATAAATACAATGTGTGAACCACTGAACCTGCGAATTACAATAATTATAAATTTATAAATGTTTGTTATATTTACAAGTTCAGTTTGTAGGTACTAGTCGATAGTAGGTAGATAAGTTACCTATAAAAAATGTATGAATAATTAATAATATAAACATAATATTATAGATAAAGATATTATTTATTAATTTTAATATTTTATATTACAGTACAGATATATAGTGGCAACTGCCAAAATCCAAATGGCTACGAATACGAAGAACATTTTTATAGGAAACAAAAAACGTCGATTTTCACAAATTAAAGTACGACAAAACCGCTTAATATATTATAATATTATGTAAAAGGTTCTAGGTACCTATATAGATACCAATAATATTTTACTTAGCACAGTAAATCACAAAATACTTATCGAAATCATATAATATAGAGACGCTGAAAATGTGTTTTACCTATGAAATGTGTCAGTGACGTATTGATGGGGGTGGTGGGGGTTGTCTTGGGGGGATATGATTTTATCCAGTAGCTCCGCCTTTAAAGTTTTCGGAGTCCTAACTTAGGGCCTCTAACTTTAAAGGCGGGGCTATTGGATAAAATCATATTCCCCCAAGACAAAAACCTAAATACGCCACTGACACGTGTCATGTGATATAGAACTTATAATAGTGGTTATCCCCAGTCGATATTTCGATATTAATTAGTTAATACTTAAAAGTGTAAATAATTGGTTTACGGAAGTGGATCACCACTCGGTCGGAATATGGTAGGTGTTAACCTAACCTAGTATACGTACAATATAGGTAGTAGGCACTACACCTACCTTCTGTGTTTTTGACAATAGGTAGGTACCTATCTGTATTTATACGGTCACCTAAAAATATTTAGTAATAATATGATGGTTATTTTTTTTAGGAAAAAAAATCCACCAACGATGTGTCGAAAGCTAGAAACCGTGAAGTGAATAGGTTCGACGATAAAAATACAAAATATGTATCGATTTTTTTCGTCAAGTGTCTAGTCGTGTCTGACGACAGCGAGTGGAATGGAGCCGACGATGGGGGGGGCGACGAGGAAGTGGAAAAGAACGTGGCGGACGGTCGTTTCGACGACGGCAACTGCAGCTGATCGACGGCGGTTCTCAGGAGCAGGAACAAGAACGCCAGACAAACGACAGACGACGGAGTGGAGGACCGACGGTCGGATCCGTTGGACACGTTGCACAGCGGTGACTCGCAACACGCCTGACACGCGTAGATCTTGATCCGTTCGCCGATCACGATGCACCCGTCCTCGCATTTGCCCGAACAGTTGCGTTCCAGTGACCAGAGCTGTTGGCCCGAGGTGTTGCTCTCGTTGCTCGTCGTGTACGAATACCGTTTCACCTGTGAACACCGTCATTTTAGTTGTCACTATTGCCACATTATATATTATTGCAGGCTACAATATATTATATTATGTTTATTTGTTTTATTTCATTTCATACAGGTTGGCAAGTACATAATATGAGAATACAGAACCCACCGAAAAGACTCGAGCGGGGACATAAAACCTACCAGAAGGCAAAAACCACACCAGACTTATATTACAACAACAATTATTTTGTCAGTCGGTTATTATATTTATTGAAAAACAAAATGCTTAAATGCTCGTTTCATTTGAAGCACCACCTGCTTGTTTGATATTGTAACATACTGATAGTTCAGATGCAGTGCCGTAAAAACCGGGTGTGCAGAGTGTGCACCACACACAGGCCTCGGGCCTCATATTACATCGAAGGGCCTCAAAAGATCTAAAGACAAATATTAAACTAATATAAAATTATTAAAATATATAAATTATTTATTATTTGGAAACGAAACCAATGTTATTAAGTATCTGCTAAACAATTTACTATTACCTACTGTTGTCCATTGCCCTATCCGAATTAAGAAGTATATCAGATGACTACTTGTATATCAACGTTGCTAGACCGTTTTGTTATGACGACGAGGTATTAGTTGAATAATTGTAACACAATTGTAAATTATATACTGTTGTTTATTCAATGTTTCGGTAAATCATAAATGGTGCTAAGTCCAAATAACAATCGTTTCACAGAGTCTCGTGAAGGTGCTTGCAGTAGCGATGAGTGGACACGTCTGAATACAGGCCGTTTCGGGGTCCCTCTTATAGTCCGGTCCCCGCTCCCCTTGCCTAGTGATATTGTATCTCGGTTCTCACGGATGTGGTCTTTGTGCCTATCGACCTAGCCCACGTACTTGCGAAATTTTAATCTATTCTGCGTACTACTATAATGGACTGATAATTAATTTATTGGCTACCCGTTGTATTATACTAAATTATTATACTCTTTTATATTGAATAACGCTATTGCCAATATCACATCCGCCTATTCTACATGATTGTAAAACATGATTGTAGAACATGATGTTGACAATCTGTTGTGGTATTATTTGAATATAATATAATAAAATGTAAATTTGCTTATCCATTCGCTTTGGTCATTATACTCCCATGGTCTGTTTGACTATATTGTATTAAACATAATCGAAGGCTAACTAGATATTTTCTATTTCCCATTGACATATCTGATTGTAACCTATCTACAATGTACTACCCTAAATATGTTACCTGCTAGGACTTTAGTTGTTACGTAGTAACTCGCTTACTACAATATCATCATATCGTTGTAAGAAAAACCGAATTATTTACCACCTATAGTGATTTTATAGGTTCTGAGCGGAGCGAACAAATTTGTATTGCTGTATGTGAAGTCAATTTTTAGTTTTTTCTTATAGAAAAAATGCTGTAATCACCAACTTAAAAGAAGATTTTTGGTAGCAAAATGGATCTAGTTGGTACTTTTGGAAGGTAGAAATTTAAAATTCTCAGTAGGCACCTATAACCTGCTATTTAATAATAATAGGGGAAAATAATACGAACATTTGTAAAAATTTTAATAACAATATTAAAATTTAACATAATTGTTTGGTAACCTTGGTTACCCTTACCAATAAGTTAGACCATCTTCGTGCAGAATTTTTTTTCATCGTATACCTAAAATCTACAATAATTCAGGTACCTACCTACAAGTCATTGAGTTCACATTTAACACACACATTACACTAATACAGTGTCTATTCAATTGTAGTAAATAAGCAAGTTACTACGCAACATTTAAAGTCCCGACAAATAACATATTTAACATAACATACTGTAGATAGGTAATGGGCAGATATATCAAACAATAACTATAGTTAACCTTTTTGGTTGTAATTAATCAAAGAAACCATGGGGAGTATAACACCCAAAACGAATGCTTAAACAAATTTGCGGTTAATAAATGTAAGGCTCAAGGAGAAACGATATTCAAAATAATACCACAATAGATTAGCAAGACTATGCAATCATGTAGAATAGGCGGATGTGATATATGCGATAGCGTTACATGACAGAAATTCAATATAAAAAATAGTATATGATTTATTAAAAAATGAAATTGACAGTCACAAATTATCTGTCAGTACATTATAGTAATACGCAGAATAGATTAGGAATTTCGCAAGTGCGTGGGCTAGGTCGACAGCCACAAGGACCACATCCTTTAGAACCAAAATACAGTATCACTAGGCAAGGGGAGCGGGGATCGGACTATAAGAGGGACCCCGAAACAGCCTGTGTTCAGACGTGTCCACTCGTCGATACTACAAGCACCTTCACGAGACTCTGTGTAACGATTGTTATTTGGACTATTAGCACCATTTATGATTTACTGGAACATTGAATGAACAACAGTATAATTTACAATTGTGTTACAATTATTCAACTATAGTATCTCGTCGTCATAACAAAACGGTCTAGTTACCTGCAACTTTGATATACAAGTAGTCATCTGAACTACCAGTATATTACACAATGATGACTTGTACGGCCGATAGTCGACTATAGCTGGTACCATACAATACTTACTTGACAACTTTTTTTAATATTAGGTATTATATTATTTTTATGACAGCCCATGTTTTTAATAATTTCATGATGAGGAGTAGATATTTTATGAAAACTTTGACTTATCAAAATATATATTCTGATTGATATAGGAATCCACGTGCAGTGTTAAAAATTATAATATGATAGTAATAACTGAAGTAATACAATTATTTTTCGAGAGTAATAAATAATATTATATTAAATGTAATTAAGTTCAAAAACAAGTCAGGATGGCGCACAAATGCACAATGTCCAAGTCGGAAATTATACTTCATTCGTATGTAAAGCCGACTGGACACTGGCGTCAAGATTCAATGTGCAACAAGTGATAAATACCTACCTTCAGCTGAAAACAGTAAATACTAAATAGTGTGCTCTCGCGGACCGCTTTATATAGGTATTATGGAGTGACCCCCACCGGATACATATTATGCGTGACCCGATTTCTTATTGGACGCTGTAAAAAAGCAGTTATTGCTTCAGCTTTCAGCCCATGGCTTGAAGGGAAACGTTCACACGAATCCACTACGGACGAATACAATTATTTAGAGCGCTAAAAAAAATTAATGAATTTTCGAAAACTATTAGGTAACAGATTTGATCTATATTGGTGATAATCGAAATACGTTCATAATAATATTAATTATAATGTTTAATATTCTACAGCTTTCACTACCTACGCAAATTTACCATAAACTATCGATATGCGAATCCCCACAAACAAGTTGAGAAACGACCTTTCTAAATGTAGTATCAAATAAATAATATAGGAGTGGTCGAAAATAGTTAATGTCACTAAAGTTAAATTTCTATTGGCAGCTATAGGTATGTCTTAAAAATATCAAGGTTTCAACTAGATTGCGCACAATCTAATTTATACATTTAAAACCGGAACCCGTTTGGGCACAATTCATAAGGGTCAAGGAGAAATGAAAATATAAATGTATAACGTGTTCTCACACACCGTGATAATAATATAATATTATAGGATAAAGATAAAAAGTAGGGCTCGGATTTCGATGCATATTTTTTTCTGGAATACTTGACACGATGCTTTCCAATGTTGCGGGCTATGAAATATGAATTCTACGAATTAATTTAAGCGGTCCTAACGAATAGATAAGAATATAGACTATGACTAGTAGTTTTTTACCTTACACGATGAATAAGCAGTAGGTAATCTAAGTAATGCGTATAAGAAACTGTTGACCAATAGTCACAAATTGATGGTCAATTAAAATTACTAGATTCACATGTTTATAGAAAACGTACATATTAGTAAGTATAATTCTAATTCGGCAAAACTATAATTCATTACTATGAAGACGAATTTAGTGTTTCTACCAAGACAGCAAGTTTCCACGACCGCAACAAAGACACTTGAAAAATACAAGTGACGGCTACACAAAAGGAGAGGTCCATATCAAAGGAGCCGAATACACTTGTATAGGGGAGATCAGAGTATACAGCATCGGCATATGTGCCATAGCCTTTGCCCTTTGAGACCAAAGCACCTTCATGCCACTCATATCGATACGACTTGTAGATTATTTTAATTGTTGCTAGAAATAAACTATCATTTGTTCACTGTTGAAAATTGTCTTCAACTAGGTACTTACTTAAAAAAAACCACCAATATCTGGATAGCTGGCAGCCCACTACAACACCAAAATACAAATACGTTTCAAGTATACACACTCACTATATTAGTAGCAACAACCTTTTTTGAATTTTTCGAGGTTTTTAATGTTTAAGTGTACAATATATGTACCTATATTATGCATACGTTTTAGGCCATTATTTATTTTTTTAGGTAATTTTTTTCAACCCGTTTACAGTACTTTTATTATAGTAATATTAGGTATGAAAAAAGATAAAAAAAAATTAATTGTACTGAAATAACACAAGGTTAGAAAGATTCACAAATTTAACTTTGGAAGTTCTTTAATTATTACCTTTTGCATATTATTACATTCGAACCTAGAAATAACAGATAAAACTGCTGCACATTTACTTGGTAAAATATTTAATCACCTCTTTAATTATAAGTTATAACATACATATATCGTTTATCAGTCTAATGAAAGTTTCCCAACTTTTTGAACACACTGTATATAGTATATATTATGCATAATATATTTTACAAACATATTAAAATATATAATACATTATTTATTTAAATATGTTTTCATAAAAATGAGTGAAGTCGATATTAGATTAAATTTAGTGAGACGTGGTACCTACATAAATTTGTTCAGCATTTTCAGATAGTTTATTTTTGGTTTGATAGGTATTTTTATGTTATTTGGATTTATATGAATTCATATCACCACCACCCATACTCATTAAATCTATTATTGACTACACTAATTTTCATTATGCAGCCAAAAAC